GAAGAAAGCAAAAGGTCATTAAAAAAGAAAGAACAGATCAAAATGGATGTCATAAGAGACTTTGAAACTTGCTCTTAATCTTAGAGCAAATGGAAGAAATGATGAACTCAAAGTGCTGAGAAGAAAATTCCAAAGGGCAGCTGGAAAAGACAAAGTAATATAGCTTATGACAAAGTGTGAAAGACTTAGAGGTGGAGAACCAAAGGGAAGAGCACACTCAGCATCTCTTAAACTGAAAGAACTCAAGGAGAAACCCTCAAACTTCAAGTTGCAATATTGAAATGGGCAAAATATTGAATGATGGAGGATGAAGCACCAAAAGAAGCTATATAAAATCCACAGAACCACTATAGCAAACATTCGACATTCATCACGTAAGAGGCAGCATTTGAGCAAGAACCAATGGTGCTGAAAGAAGTTCAAGCTGCGAGGACCTGATGCCAGGGGCTTAAGTGGCGAGCAAATGTTTTGAGAATGACGAGGGCAATGAATGTACAGATGTGCTTTACACAATTGATATGTAAAGATTGTGATAAGAGTTGTATGAGCCCCTAATAAAATCATTAAAAATTTTTATATTAGGGAAGAAACTATGAATAGAGCAAAATATGAATCTGAAGGAAAAAAAGACGTTCAAGCTGCAATGAAAGTACTAGCCAAAAACAAGGTTCCAGGAGTTGATGGAATCCAACTGAAATGTTTCCACAAGCTGAGGACGCACTGGACGCACTTGTCTAAACCAGAAAATGTGGGAAACAGTTACTTGGCCAACTAAAGAGATCCATATTTGTGCCCATTCCAAAGAAAGGTGACCCAACAGAATGCTCACGTTATAGAACAATATTATTAATATCACAAGGAGGTAACATTTTGCTGAAGTTCGTCCAATAACAGTTACAACAGGACAAGGAGCTTCCAGAGGTTCAGGCCAGACTCAGAACAGGGCACAGAACAAGGAATATCATTGTTGATGTCAGATGGATCTTGGCCGAAAGCAGAGGATACCCGAAAGATGTTTACTTGTGTTTTATTGACTGTAACAAGACATTCAACTGTGTGGATCAGAACGAACATTTCATTGGGCTCATGTGGAACTTGAACATGGATCAAGAGGCAATTGTGTGATCAGAACAAAGGCATACAGAGTATTTTAAAATGAGGAAAGGTGTGCATCTGGGTTGAATCCTCTCACCATATTTAATTCAATCTGTATCCTTAGAAAAGCATCAGAGAAGCTGGCTTATATGAAGAATATGGCACCAGGATTGAGGAAGGCTTATTAACAACCTGCGATATGCAGATGACACAACCTTGTTTGCTGAGAGTGAGGAGGGCTTGAAACATTTGCTGATGAAGATCAAAGATTGCAGCCTTCAATATGGATTTCAACTCAATGTAACACAAATCCTCACAGTTGGACAGATAGGTATCATCCTGATCAGTGGACAAAAGATTGAAGCTGTCCAATATTTCATCTTGCTTAGATCCACAACCAGTGCTCATGGAAGCAGCAATCAAGAGAGTAAAGGAAGCACTGGATAAATCTGCTGTGCAAGACCTCTTTAAAGTGGCTGAAAAGCAAGGACGTTACTTTGAGGACTAAGGTATGCATGACCCAAGCCATGGTATTCTCAATCACCTCATATATATATGAAAGTTGGACGTTAAATAAGGAAGACTGAAGAAGAATTGATGCATTTGGAGGAGGCTGATATTATAATTCCTGTTATAAAAATCAATGAGAGCTTTGCAAGTCGCAAGCTCTATAGGATAAGCTTAGTGTCTGTGTTCTAACAAAAATATAGTCATAAGCATATTTAGTATTTAGTGAAGGTATCTAATGGCAAGAGCCTTGGTGGTGCAGTGGATTAAGTGTTGGGATGCTAACTACAGGGTTTGAAGTTCAAACCTACCAGCAGCTCACTGAGAGAAAGATGTGGCTGCCTGCTCTTCTAAAATGTCACGGTTTCAGAAATCCTATCTTGGGTTGCTGTAAGTTGGAACTGACTTAACAGAAGTGGGTTTGGTTTTGGGGTCCTGGGCAGAGGAAGACTTTAGAAGCTTCAAACACCAAGATTATGACAGTCACTTCATGTGTAATTGAAACAAACAGTAAAATTTAACCTATACATGAAGATTGGGATACCCATCAAAGTACTGATTCCCCCCCATGACTGTGTTCATTCATTGGAAAATTTTTGTTTACTTAAGTGTAATACACATACAGGAAACTACATACATCTTGTGTACAGTTTAATTGTATGTATGGATGCACTTACAATTTGGACATGTTATTAGGAGGGACCAGTCCCTAGAGCCGGACATCCTGCTTAGCAGAGAGTGGGTCTCTGAAAAAGAAGACAGTCAACAGAGATAATTCGGCATAGTGGCTGTCAAAGAGAAGAACCATTGTAAAACCAGTCCCTGTTTTGCTCTGTTGTAAGCAGGGTCGCTACCAGTCAGGACTAGGGTTCTGGTGTAGGTACCTGGAGGGGTTTAGTGCATTTCAGGGCCCAGGACAAAGACTTATTCAGGGTCCCAGGAGGGACTTCACTGAGCTCGTTTTGGGTAGGTAGAGCTTAAGGCACAGGACTTGCTGCGACAAACAGGTTGCAGTGTTCTCAGTATGCTATCAGGCATAGGGTCTGAGCTTCTGAATCATTTTATTTTTTGTAAATTTAAAGTATGGAAGTGGGAAATATTACTCAGGACGGGCGAAGAACGGTAGGGAAAGCTAAGGCAGGTCCTAGCAGCACAAGGTGCACTTAGGTATAAACAGGATAGGGAAGGTCGGAGAAGTAGGAAACCGGGAGACATTTTAAAAGCTAAGAGCAAGTTTCATGACGGTATCGGTCACCGCCTGGTGGACAAAGGGAAGATGACATCGAGCCCGGCTCTTGGTCTAACCGAGTTCAAGAAGCGGGGTGGAGGCAAAGGCGGTTGGGGGTGGAGGGAAGTCTCAAGGCCAAACCAAAACCACTGTCATCCAATTAAAAGAAAAGAAGGCTTTGTATTTTTTTTTTTTGCTGTGACAAGCCAGTAAAGGAGGAACTTGGACGCTAATTTAAGATTCAAACAACAATCGGATTCAGGAACCAGTCCTCTGGGGAGGGGCTCGTGCTGGCACCGCCTTGAGGCCTGAAGTGCAGTCCTTTCCGATCCTCCTGGGGGTCTTGCAGAATGAACTCGGAAAAAAATTGCCACGGACTAAAACAGAAACAGCGTTCTGTTAGAAACCGTCTCGTTCAAAATTCAGACACGCAAACAAGAGGCTGTAATATGGCTCCTAGTGATTGGTAGGTATTCGCAAAATCCGTCATTTCTCCGTAGGGAAGGCTGCAAAGGAAGAATCTGTTTTCTGTGTTCCTATTGGCCGTCTGGTCCGGCAACCCGTTCAGCCAATCGAACTACTTCCCTTCACCCCTCCCGTTAACGCCTATAAATGACTTCAAATTGGTTATTCTTTCCACAGCCTTCTTGAAAAGAAGCTGTTAAGTGCGTATTTGTCAGTAATGTCTGGCAGGGGAAAAGCAAGGAGGCAAGGCCCGCGCCAAGGCCAAGTCGCGCTCTTCCCGCGCCGGGCTGCAGTTCCCCGTGGGCCGCGTGCACCGCCTGCTGCGCAAGGGCCCCTACGCCGAGCGGGTGGGGGCCGGCGCGTCCGTGTACATGGCGGCCGTGCTGGAGTACCTGACGGCCGAGATCCTGGAGCTGGCGGGCAACGCGGCCCGCGACAAGAAGACGCGCATCATCCCGCGCCACCTGCAGCTGGCCATCCGCAACGACGAGGAGCTGAACAGGTTACTCGCGGGTGTCACCATCGCCCAGGGCGGCGTCTTGCCCAACAGCCAGGCCGTTTTGTTGCCCAAAATAACGGAGAGCTACAAACTTGGCAACAAGTAGTTAAAACAAGGCTTAAATGCACTCCCCACCCCAAAGGCTCTCATAAGAGCCACTACGTGTCGACGCTTCGGAAGGGCTGGTCACAAAACAGCGCATTAGCTCTTTCTCTGAAAACTTGGGTGGCTCTAAAAAGAGCCTTTGTTCTTTGGCTTGTGGGTAGGATTTATTTGCTTTTGGCTTTGTGGCTTTCGGTTTTCTTTGGTAATAGAACGGCTTGGATGTTGGGCAGCACGCCGCCCTGGGCGATGGTGACTTTGCCCAGCAGCTTGTTGAGCTCCTCGTCGTTGCGGATGGCCAGCTGCAGGTGGCGCGGGATGATGCGCGTCTTCTTGTTGTCGCGGGCCGCGTTGCCCGCCAGCTCCAGGATCTCGGCCGTCAGGTACTCCAGCACGGCCGCCATGTACACGGGCGCGCCGGCCCCCACCCGCTCGGCGTAGTTGCCCTTGCGCAGCAGGCGGTGCACGCGGCCCACGGGGAACTGCAGCCCGGCGCGGGAAGAGCGCGACTTGGCCTTGGCGCGGGCCTTGCCCCCCTGCTTTCCGCGTCCTGACATAGCCGAGTCTGAGAGTATATAGGAAGAAGACTCACGATCTTGCAGCAAAACAGGCTGAAGTGAACAACAATCAGAAAGCTTTTATAAGCTTTCCTAGGGGTGGGGTCAGAAACGAGGTTTTCATTGGTTCTAAATTGGTTCCAGAAACGGCCAATACACTCGAGTCATCCTCGTTACGTAGCTCTTACGGCTAACACAAGGTTCCTACTTGGACCAATGGGAATGAAAGACTTTTGGAGCCCTAATTTGCATAACCTAGTTATAAAAGGCTCAGGTCCGCCCTTTCTCATGTTTTCCTGTTGGTTTGTGTTGTGTTTCGCCATGCCCGAGCCGGCTAAATCCGCTCCCGCGCCCAAGAAGGGCTCCAAGAAGGCTGTCACCAAGGCCCAGAAGAAAGACGGCAAGAAGCGCAAGCGCAGCCGCAAGGAGAGCTACTCCATCTACGTGTACAAGGTGCTCAAGCAGGTCCACCCGGACACCGGCATCTCGTCCAAGGCCATGGGCATCATGAACTCGTTCGTCAACGACATCTTCGAGCGCATCGCCGGCGAAGCGTCCCGCCTGGCGCACTACAACAAGCGCTCCACCATCACGTCGCGGGAGATCCAGACGGCCGTGCGCCTGCTGCTGCCCGGCGAGCTGGCCAAGCACGCCGTGTCCGAGGGCACCAAGGCCGTCACCAAGTACACCAGCTCCAAGTGAGCCTCCTTTACCAGGATGCGCGCCAGCCTCTTTGCTCCAAAGGCTCTTTTCAGAGCCACCCACGTGATCACAAAGAAAGAGCGTTTCACTTGTTATTGTACAGCCTTAGCTTTTAAGCTTAGGTTGTCACCTAAAAGATCGCGCAGGGAGCTTTCCAAACCTTTGACTTTAGGGTCCCAGCGCGTAACTGGTTTTGCTTTTGCATCGTAGATACGTTTTTTCCTCCTTGACTCAGCTTAAAAAAAAAAAAAAACAAACCTCTAGGAGCCGGTTGTTAGTACGGATAAGAATTTATTTGCCACCCTCTCCCTATTATGCCAAAAGCAGCTTTGGTGTGAGTTACTGACACGAAGTGCCTCGGGCCAATCCTCTTAAAAATGACCTCAGGGCTTAACAGGCTCCGCCAGCGCTGCGCAACAGCACTTCACATCGGAATTCTCCCGAGAGGCGCGAACAGCTTGCTGCGAGCTCCCTAGCTCTGCCCTGCAGGGAAGCTAGCGGTTTGAAAATAGCAACGCTTCAACGGCCTGAGGGCGGAGCCCGCGGATGCGCTTCCTAGCTCTCTGATTGGACAGAACGAACATTCAAAATCATCTGCCTTGGGATTGGTAGACTCGAATTTGCGCCGCTTTCTTCAGGGCTTTGAAATCCAAAGTACACTCTGATCCGTTGGGTCATTTTTTGCATTTAACGCTGCAACCCAGAGACTGGTCATTTAGGTTTGGGCCCACCTCACACAGACTCAGATCCGCACCCTTCTTGAGCTTGTCCGTTTTATATTTCTCAAAGCCGTTTGAAATTGCCTGGTCCGTTTTTTGGTTTTGTTTTGTTTTGTTTTGTTTTTTGACTTAAGATCCTCGGCCCGCAACCGCCCCAACCCCAGCTTGGAAGTCCTGGAAAACGGACTTTATACTGCCTGGTTCGGCATCTATTTTCCGCATCCAGCAGTGCCTGCCACGCAATGACTCAAGTACGTGTCAAGTAAATACTTAATTCATGTGCTCAGCCCACCTCTTAGATACTTCCAGATCACCACGTACACGCCTTATATGGATGGCCACAGTTCTTTTCCATTAGATGTGTCTGGAGGCTTGATGAGAATGGACATGTCTGAAGTTTCTTTCTCAAGACGCCCCATGGCCTCCGTGGAAAAGCTGGGAGGAGTTTGTGTTCAGATTGTGACCCGAGGGAGATTTGGCAGCAGCAGGTTTTCCCTTTATGCTTCTCCGGTTACATCCATTTTGGTATTTTCATTAAATTCAGAGCATTGGTCACTGGAAAGCAAAATCGACCTTTCCCCACTTTCTCCTTTTCTGTGCTTCACACCACACACACACCACACCACACCACACACCCCCACTACCTTGATTCTCTGTTCTCTGCTGAGGTGAGCTATTTTTCAGGAGACCCTATGAGACAGTCAAGACTGCAGGGTTAGTATCACGTTTACAAATGGCGTTGAGAGAAGTGAGTTGCCCACCTTCCTAAGAACAATTACATTTTAGTTTTGTATATTGTGAAATAAAGGATGTTGCCTCACTCTTTCCAAACCTCTATTTTATTGAAGACTGGTGATATTTCATCTCTGATTATCTCTTTATTAAGGAGTTCCGGAGTCACTGCAAGGATTTCAAAAATCCAAATTGATTCCAGACATTACCATAGACAATACCTCTTATGCCCCCCTCATGTGTGTTGGTGAGTGTGTGTAGATACTAATAAAGTTGCCAGCCAATTAAAAAGCCTTGCTGGATTCTTTTTTCTGCATGTGCTTTCTCAATAAGTGAGCTTAACAGTCACAATTGCCATTGGATCTGTGAGAGAACCATGGGCCTTTCACCTGAAGGTTGTATAAAACATCAACTGAACTCCTCTAAGGCTAGAATAGCATCTTGAACTTTTAGCCACTCCTAATGCTTAAAAGAGACGGATTACAAGGATCTACATGTGACCTCCTCCCTGGGGGACGGACAACAGAGAAGTGGGTGAAGGGAGATGTC